ACCTTTAGGTCTCAATTAAACACAAAAGCATCAAGTGAGATGAAGATTGATAATAATTCTATTAATAGTAAGTATCTTTTAAAATAGTTGATACTTATAAGATGGAAATCGTCTTTTAAATAAAGTTTAAATATTAGATATATATTTAGATACTTTTTAACTCATGATAATTTGTAAGTAGCCTTTATGTTGTACAGTATTATGTGAGTTATCATAGGTATAGTCTGGAAGGAAGAGGGGAGAGCAATAGTGTTTATTTTCCTCCCTGTCATTGGTTAAAATTAAATTTATTATAGTGTGTTACCTGTAATAGTTACCTGTAAATTGTTGATCTTTGAATTTTTATACTTTTTGTTTTAATACTAGAATCTTGTCTATTACTGACTAATAGCTATAATACTTCTGATTTATTTATGGAAAGGAATAAATGCTGTTCTTTTTTATATCTACCTTATAGATTTTTATTTCAACCACAAACTGCCCCTCAAGAATTTATCTCAGTTATTGAATTTTTAAAAGTTTTAGGGATCACAGGTGTGTGGAAATACTACACGGCAGGTATCTAGATAGTTAACTCTGTGAAGGTGACAGACGGGTGTAGTGTAACTGCTGCTAACTGTGTTTCTTAACTCGAACAGAAATTAGCTCAAAAATTTGTTGTTTATAAACTAAATTTGGGTGTTTAGTTTCTAGTGCTTTTTCTTCAAGCCCTTGGGGAGAAAATGTCGCAGAACCAACACCCAAATTAGAAACTGGTTGGGCCAATTTTGATTCAAGTTTTGGTGAGCCATTGGTGGCTAATGGTGACTCAGTTGATCATGAATTATTTCCTGATGTTGTTGAACGAAATACTCAAGATATTACTCCACCATTTGTGTTGCCTGAAAGTGCAACAATGTTAATTGACAATTCAATAAGTAAGAATAACTAATGTAAACTAAAATATGTATAATTTTACTGTTGTATGTAACTTAACCTTTATGGATGTATATTATTGATTTAGACTCAAATTCGGAAGATCAAGAGATGACTGATAAAATAAATGATGGTTTACTTACATCAAATACATCTTTATCTGCACAATTATCTAATGATGAACCATTGGCAGGTAGTTCTCCAAAATCAAGTGTAAAGGATTTGCCTATTTTACCTATTATATCAACTTCTTCAGATACGTCTTTAGTTGAAAATCCTAAGGATGTGAATTCTGTAGATAGGTAATGGTCATTTAATGCCTTAAAATCTTCTTAATGGCATTATAATATTTTTAAAAACAAAAATTATGAATTTTAATTTTTATAAATGTTTTTTTCTTATTAATTTACACATCAATTATGATCAATAGTTATCTGCGTGTATGTTTTAAAGTGTCCGTCCGTTTTTTTATATGAAACATCAATATTTATAATAATTCCAATTCATTCTAAAAAATAAACAAACATTTTTATTTACTAAAATGTTCTCATACACATAATTATACATTTATTTATAATATTTTTTTTTTATTGAAAGACAGTTCTTGTTACCTATGTAATTATTTATTTTGTGTGTTTAGTTTAGTGTTTGAATTACAGGGATCATAAGTATAATATTTAAATATTTTTGTTAAATTCTATTAATATGAATACAAATTAAATATATTTAATTATTTTCTTTATGAATTCGAAGAAGAATAAATCATTAACTTTATAAAAACCCACCTATATAAAATATATGATACATTTCTTCGAAATCTTAGTTTATTTATTATGTTACTGTAACAAGTTATTATATATATTACATAATATATAATATATATGTTTTTTTATAGTCGACTTTGTTATATTATCAGTTATCATGGTGCATGTTTCGAATTATACAAATGTGTTGTTGTGTATGTATGAATGTATGTATGTATGGATGTATGTATTCAAATATTTAACATATTATGGTAAAATTATTATTATTATTTATTAATTATTATTATTTTTGTAAAACTTGAATGGTTACTGGATATAAAATGTTTGATGAGAAGATCTTACAAAATACTTTTACTGTGATATGAATATCCATGTTTTTGAAATATAAGTTATACATTATTATACTCAGTTAACTGTTTTTTTCTTTGATTGCTGACCATTGTCATTTAACACAAACCTATATTTATTTTGTAAAAAAAGAAATAGAGATGATAAATCTAGCACCAAATTATTTGATTTAATAATTGAAATGTTATGAATCATTAAATATATTTATTTTTATTTAATTTGAAAAATAAATTGGTTATATAAATATTTTTGTAATTTATTATGCATTGATATTTTTTAATGCAAGTATGATCTATGGTTTGTTTTTCTTGTAGATTTATGTTATTACTTTTATTGTTTAGAATTATTTTTGCTTTTGATTATTGAAATATACAAATAGTTAATACTGTTAGTACTTTTTATATTTTAAATGCTTACAGTTATTTTTACAGTTTCCAAACCTACATGAATGTAAAGTGTTGAGCAGTATCTAGGTAACAGTTTTACTCTGTACTTAAGCTGCACTAAAACTATTAATATTATACTAAATACACTTACTTTTTAATCATATTATTTACTTATTTTCTCTATAAATAATATATTGCTTTAAATCTTTTAAATGATTTTTAGAGAAATAAATAGATAATCTTCATCATCACCTTTTAAAGGCTAAGCCTTGTTGTAGCCAATCATGTCTGTCAGATGCCATCCTCTTAAGATTTTGGTAAAAGGTACAATCCATTTGTCTGAAGATTTCTTCAAAGAAGAATTTACGCGGTCTTCCTCTAGATCTTTTTCCTTTCATAATGATAGTTGTAAACTCATTATTTCTAAGTAAATGTCCAATTAGCTTTATTGTTCTTTTTATTATTGTGTTCATCGAAATGACTAACTTTAAATAATCGCATGCAAATGCTCAGACCTCTCTTAATTAGAAAGAAGTGCTCCGCCTTTAACAGCAAACTATTAATCTACAAAGCTCTACTTAAACCAATCTGGACGTATGGACTCCAACTGTGGGGTGCTGCCAAAAAATCCAACACAAATCGAATTCAAACATTCCAAAATATGTCAATCCGACGACTATCTAATGCCCCGCCTTATATCTCTAACCGAACTCTTCATATGAGAACTATTGTAGAGGAAGCACACGATTTTTATACACGTTTTCACAAACGACTTCAAACCCATCCAAACCCTCTCATAAAAGATCTTTCCATCCTTACACTCCCAGGAAATCCTAACCGCAGATTAAAAAGGCGTATGGTGCCGTGATCTTTTACAAAACTTAAATGACTAACGTCTCAATTTAGTTATAATAATTAATCAATGGCCAAAAGTCACTAATGGGGGTGGCTGCTTAATCACACATTTCATGTCTTATTTTATTAATTTATTTATTTTTTCTGTTTTGTTTGTTTGTCTATATGCTCTCATCAAATAAGCTTATTGTGCTAATATTGTACARATTGTTTATATCTAATAAAAAACTAAAAAAAAAATGTCGTTAAAAAATTAAATGACATCAAGTTAAAGCTTCTCGAAATAATGAATTAAGACACTTAAACGGATCACTCCATATTATAGATACCTACTGACTACTGTCTTTAAATACATAATATTAAGTCATAAGTAAAAAAAAAAAAAAATAGTTGACGTATAGTAAATATAAACAGGTGAGTACCTACTATTAATTTGTCGTTGGTGATAATGTAGTATTGGTAATGTACTAATATGTGAATTGTATTGTTATTCAAACTAATTATACTACAAACTATTGGATAGATATTTATGAGAATTGAAAAATATTGAATACCAAACACAATATTATATTGCATGTTATATACATATACAGGGTGTCCCACGATGATTTACCCATTGTGATATCTCACGAAATAATGGAGATATCAAAATTCTGGTTTTATAATAAGATTCACAGGAATAAGAACTACAATTATATCATTTTAAAATTTATTTTAATGTTTTTGTAAAAATTAAAAAAATATTTTTTTATTTAATTATTTGCAAAAAAAAAAAAAAATAGCCATTTTGTAGTGTTTATTTTTCTGAAAATATTGACGTTTCAACATTTTATTTCCATTAGTTTTCTGATTTTTGATATTTTTTCTAGTTTTGATGAAATAAAATATGATTATAAATGACGTATAACAATTAGGAACACGGATTCGGCCAGCCGTATGGGGATGCGCACGGCGCGGCGGTTCATATACGAGTATGTTTGATAACATTATGGTGTTAAATAATTCGCAATTTTTCTCGAAACTAAAAAAAATATTAAAAATCAGGAAATTAATGAAAATAAATTATAAAATTTTGAAACGTCAATATTTGCAGAAAAATAAACTCAACAAAATGGCTATCTTTAATTTTTTTTGGAAATGATTAAATATAAAAATATATTTTTCAACTTTTTTACCAAAACATTAAAATATGAAACAATTGTAGTTCTTATCCCTAGGAGTTTTATTACCAGAATTTCGACATCACTATTATTTCGAGAGATATCGCAGTGGGTAAATCCTCACGGGACACCCTGTATATATATATATTATATTTATAGGTACCTAAGCGTGGCATTCAATGTGTTAAGAAACTGAGAAATGAGATTAGAGGTATGAAATCTTAAAAGCAGAAAACCATAATAATTATATTATTACTATAATAAATTCATATTTCAGGATCACCACTTCATTAGCACAACGGGATATAGAGGACGTCTAGGCCAAAGATTAATCTATAAATATTCACTAATTCACTATTCAGTCTAGAAAATGGTGGGTCCAAACCGACTTAACCGGTGTATATGTAATTATCCCGCACGGCCGCACCGGAATAATGAACCATCCAATCACGTCAATAATGAATTATGAAAATGAATAATGATATTATACAAATATGCAAATATCTCTGTATACATACGTTCATTTTTTTCAAACCGATTCTAGCATAGTTATCAAATATAGTAGCGAAATCGTTTACATTTCAAACAATACTATCGAATACTGTAATAATATGGTGTTAGGAGTACCTATATAACCGATAGTAAGTTACTGAGTAGGTAGGTACTGTAGACTGCATAGTATGTTAAATATATAATACCTAGTTAATTCTCAATTGAATTTTTTCCCTTCTATATATGTACCAATATAATTTAAAATAATGTTTCATCGCAAAATTATTAGGTAAGTAGTTTGAATCTCTGTCGACGTTGTGACTTTTCAAACACCAATATAATATAAATGTATAGCTGGTAGTTCGTGCCTTTATATTTTAACACAATGGTGATGGCTAGTAAGATATTAAATACAATAGATATGCCATGTCATGAAATCATACACCCGTGGGTGACTTCATGTTGCAACGCAAGTACCGGTTTATTGATTCATTCGATCCAAACTTCGTTGCGAATTTATGTTACTACGTACACGGTATAGTATACAATTTATATGCCTATAGTATTAATATTTAAACTATTTACTTACTATATGTGTGTCATTTATTTGTTTTGTCTGGCAGTTGACTTTACTGATGAAAGGTCGAAAACCGACCAAGAAGGAACTCAAACAAACCCTGTTGAACATTTTACAGTCTACTGCTTTTCTGTCATGCCATTCATTTGGTTTATTGTCTGCTATGTGCTTACTAAGGTATCTACTACTACCATGAGAAACTTTATGATTGTGTGACAGCTCGTTTGCAATAGTAATATAGGTAATATCAATTATCGTACAAAAAATACACTTTAAAATATTTTACTAGATACTTCGTCGGCCTAAAATCTAAACTGCAAAATTCGTAACTCAAATGTTTTGATTTGAATTCAAATTTATGTAAGAGTTACAAAAAAGTCCTACCAACATTATAATTGGTAATTAAGTGGTAAATGACAATGTTTTTAATTACAATTGAATAGGTATAGTATTTAATACTATAAATTGCTATTATAATTGAAGTCCCGAGTAGGTACATCTAAGGTTATAAAAAGCGATTAGGTACCCACAAATTGAGTTTGACAGGCATTCAAAATTGACAATAAAATCAGAAATAAAAATTGAATGTACCTCCAAATTACGTTTCGATACACAAAACTTTTATTTTTGCATGGGCGTGCACATGATTTTTTCTTAAGGGAACATTGGGAACTCACTCAATTATGTAATGGTTATTTTGTGGGATACTAAAGTTAGTTAAATAATAATTTTACATTTTAACAATAATAATATTTACCTCTAGCAATAAATTTTAACATAATATGTTATACATTGAGGTAATAAATAAAAATATCAGTCAGTTGTCACACAAAAACTCAAAGTTATAAAGTTAATCGGTGATACCCTGGAGCTAAAAATACTTATTGAAATTTTCAATTATTTCTGCATTATAATCTAGTTTCATACATACTCTTTGTTCAATAAGTACTCATAAAAAGTAAGCTGTTAAGACATTCTTTATACATATTAGCCCAAAATTTATATTTTACAATATTTAACTTAAAAAAGCTCTTTTAGATGAACAATTTGTGACAGGCATCTTACTAAATAATTCAGTTGTTTTATAGAAATTAATAAAACAACTTATTATAAGATTGACTTAGCTATTGAAGCTCCTGAGTGGCCTGAATAATAGTTACAATTGCAATGAACCTTTATTGAAGTAAATGCATTTAAAGGTCAACATTTTCATTAGTTTCCAAAAGCGCCAGAAAAACAAAACAAAATGTTAAGAAAAAATGGACATTTTCAGATTTTTTAAATCAATTTTGGCATAACTCTAAAAAAAAATTACCATAGATGGAATGGATGCAATGTTCACTATCACTAAATGTAAACAATAAGCATTACCATTTTCTATACCCATACAATTTTCAAAATATTTTTATTGATGTTGAGCTATTTATATAGGCGTATAAAATTTTTGATTTTTACCAGTTTTTTTTTTTTAAATTGTGAAGTCAAAACATGAAAATGTAAATACGTAATATAAGGTTTCTAGTAAGTTGTTATTGGAAATCAAAAAAAAAAAAGTTGATCGAAAATCTGTAGTAATTATGTTTTTTGAAATTAAAATTTTGACAAAATTCGTAAAAATCTCAAAAATGTACCAACTAATCTGAGTTGGAAATTCATAAAAATTATTTTCTATTAGTACTTCATAGCATTTTCAACGTATATTAACTCGTTTTGAGCTGTTTATACGAACATTTACAATTCGTTAAGTTTTTTTTTCTATATATATCAATAAAATGTTATTCGTTATATCAAAGAGCTTTAAATTGAATACAACGCACCTCACATTTTTACATACCTACCAGTTTTAAAATATTAAAAATCCATAGGTAAGGTTTTTTCTAAGCGTTTGTTAAAATTTTGAAAAAAATTATCAAATTAAAAATGTGCAAATTATTAAGTAGTAAAAAAATTATAAAATGTTCAATTTTTTTAGGTATCTAATTATCGAAAATTTAATATAAGGTTCTTTGTAAATAATGTTGTAATCCAAAAATCTGTATAAATACAGTTTTTTAATAGTTATTTTAAATTCAAATTTGGATGATATTACATTAAAACTAAAAATAACAATTTTATTTATTTTGTTGTGTGTATTCAGTTAGGTGTTTAAAAATATTATTCGTGGGTACCTAGGTACTCGAAATTTTAACAGTAGGTATATTAATATATTTGATTTATGATATATTATGATATTATTGATATCGATATATATATAGACTTGTACAATATTGCACATTATATTTTCAAACGCAACTAGCACCTAATAGTAAAATAAATTATTTAGATCACAATAATATCATACAATATAGGTACCCACTTAGTAATATTAATGGCCGACTAACCGGCTTCGCTCAGAACTGTTTTCATATACAATGGTTTTATATTATTGAATTTAAATTTAACTCATCCATCAGCTAGAGACTCTCTTAACTTAATGTATATCATAATGTTACCCACCTACAATCTTTTTTTTTTAATCATTTGCTCTTCTTAAACATTGTAAGCTTGAGTACTAAATTAAAAACAACAAAATAATATTAAAATACAATTTAAGGGGAGGTGTCTTGACCCTGTCTACATGCCTACTGCCTATCATAAAGTAATTTTATCTACTGTGTGATTTTTTTTAAGCATGCTCGCCCCCACTTTCCCTTTAATCGTACCTTTATTCAAATTTTGAATTAAAGAATTTTTAAGTACACCTAAAGATCAAATTTTAAAATTTCTAATTTCCTCTACACTTTCAGATATTATAGATTGTCACTAATCCTGTAGTGATAACTAGTGATTTATAAATAAATGTTTATTGTCTGTTAATAACATTATTTTATAATTTTAGAAGATTATTTGGGAAATTCAATGTGCTAAGTGTAGCATTCCTTCCGTGTTCTCTATCCAGTCTAGTCGCTATATTAATTGAAAGGCCATCCAGACGAGGATTACTAAGTCTCTATGTGACAAATGTCGTAAGTCATTCTAACTTTTATGTTTAATATCAAGTTAAACATATAAAAATTATATATTATTAGATTTAAATTTGTATAGCTAAGTTGAACTCAAATGTATTTATAAGTAATATTTTATTTTAAGGCCTCAGAAACATTCTATAATATGATGGTTAATAGAGGCATTATAAAACCGATTCGTTATGGAGATTTGTTTATATTTGGGTCATCAATTACACTACTGCTTTATTTTTTCAGAGGACAGCATAATAAAACAGATTCAATATATTCCCTTTTAAGGTAAAAATATATTTTTTTATTAATGTATGTAACTTAATATGTTTTTATTGACTAGTTTATTGTGTTTCACAAAATTTAACTCATTACTTGTAACAAGATGGTTGGATCAATGTTAAAAACATTACGCATATTAAATGTCAGTGCACTATTTTTTTCAGCAGAATTAGACTTCTGCTGGTTGTTTCTTTGTTAGCTTTACTATTTGAGTGAATATTATGAATATCCCTAATTATCAAACTTATAGTTAAGAACATTATCGTTGTGTTTTTGTACAATGGCTTTTTTACGTTATTTTTTATTTAAGAACAAGGTGAACTCAGGTGAAAATTTTTATATCATAAAAATTCAACTTTCAGGAACAGGCAATGTTTATAAATTAAGGTTTAGTAATAGATAGATTTGCTTTAATATTAGTGTTCCGGACTCTCATGCCGTCCTGCTTGAGGGTTTTCGTTAGAGAAGCTCAGAGTCCCGGGTGCACTAAACCTGTTATTGCCTTACCCTTCCGCTGAGTGTTCACAAACTTCTCAGAGGTTGAGAATCACTTATTTACCTATTAATTTTTTTTCTAATTACTTACCGAATATAGTTATATAATTTAACATCGGGCATAGTTAAATATAATCATACAAAATCAAACAAATTTACTTAAATAATTACGGTAATTTTTGTTTGCAGTTATGTAAAACGACTATACACTATGCAAGTGCAGCACTAAAATTAAACATTATGACATATTCAATCATAATAATTATTAGATCTTTGACAAATTTTTTAAAATTCACCAGTTGTTTGAATGATTGGAAATAGAATATAATTTTATTTAGAATAATATGTATGGTACACTAATAATTTATTGCATGTATTTTAAATAGGTTTGTTGTTGGTTCTTCCGAAGAAAATAATTATAAAAAACCATTGTTATCTCCTCAAACTCATCAGTCAGGTAAATCAAATCAAGGTATTATTCGACAAGCAATTACTGATATATATCAAGCTTATTGTACTATAGACAGTGAATTAAAAACAATTTGGACCAGTGATTTATGTCCGCACACTTATGGTTGTTTATATTATATTCTTAGTGTGAGTAAAATATTAGTGTTTTAACAAATTATATTGTTTCGCTATACATAATGTTTTTAAATTTATTTAGTCAGGAACAAGGTTATTTTTAGTTGGTTATACATTACAATTAAGTTTGAAGTTGCTACAAGTCAACCAAATTTTACGTGATCCAAGTTATATTTTTAAATTAATGATATCGTCAGATACATTTAGCTTAGGAGCGTTTCTTGGAGGATTTGCTTCCATTTATAGAGTAGCTATATTTTTAACAAGATTTATATCAATAGTTTTTTATTTAATTTTATTTACCATATTTTAGATTGTATCATGTTTAATGAGAAGATTCCTAGGTAAAGATTCAAAATACATATGTATTCCTGCTGGATTATTGGCTAGTCTCACTTATTGTGTGTATCGTAATAATTCGATTACTTTATATGTTATGTTGAAAACATTACAGGTATTTATTGTATTAAATTGTAATAATTAAACACAGGATGGATTAAGTTTATCACATAATAATTTATCATTTTCAGATAATGTATATTAAAGGTTCTAACGATGGACATTTTCCTGATTTACCTCGAGCAAATATATTCTTTTATTGTTTTTCTACAGCTATTTTAATTCATGCAGCTATACTTGAACCACATAACTTAAGACCATCATATTGGAAATTTTTACAGTCTCTATCTGGAGAAACTGTAGGATTAATTGATCGAAATTATTTGGATATATTTGGTCTTAAATCAAGTGAATCATTTAAAAGTGTATTAAAAACATACAAGCCAGTTCCATCACGCGTTTTTAAATTTAAATCTAATATCATTAGTTGAAAATCTAAGATAATGTATGGTTAATGGTGTATGTAATAATATAGTAGTTTATTAAAGCATATGTTAATGTTGTTACTGTTTTTTATGGAAAAAAAATTAATTTTTGTACACTTGCTTGTCATTATTTCAGATTTTTTACATATTAAAATAAGAAGATGTTCATGAATAAAATTGTGTAGTGTATAAATATAATTTTGATCCTTGTCGATTATAAATTAACTATTTTATAAGTGCATCTATGAAAATATAATATTCAATAAACATTTTATACGTAGTTATGAAATTTAAAATGTAACTGAGTATAGTTCAATACTTATAGTCACAGAAACAAGTCGATCTATGTTTAGAATTTGATAATAATTAACTCTTTGCCAATTGTATTTTCCTGATAGTTTTCAATATTTTAGCTATTATTTAACATTTAAAGAAAATATTCATGATGAATTCATTATATTATAAATGCTTTACAAGTTCGTGCACTACCATATCTTCTATCAGAGAGAATTTCCATAGTTTTTTTCAATGGTAGATACCTACTAGATCACAGGTATTCAAACTTTTTCAGCATGCGGCTCTTTTGGGTGTTCACAATATTTTTACGGCTCCCAAATTATTATGAAAAAATTGAAACAAAACACGGATACAATATGGGAAATATGCTATATGGGTGATAAATGATAATTATTACAGTGACTAGAAATAAGACTTCAAATGGTCGAATCGTAAGGTGTGTCGTTTWMATTTCCATAATGATTGCAAATAATATTTATAATAATTATACAAGACCTAGGTATGATGTTGGTTTTCGGTGCTTTGGCGTGGCTCCCTTTGCAAACTCTCGCGACGCTCCTGGGAGCCGTGACGCACAGTTTCAATACCTCTGCGGCTCTGCACTAGATGGTATTAATGCCATCATTATCTAGACACTATTAATTCAGTTTAAAGATCTTATTTACTAATAACATGCCATAATAACTAACCATTTATTTATCAGTACTTTATTCTATTTTAGCTTGAAATAATAATCTCTGAAAAATTTTAAGTATATGATCCAGATATAAGATTTAATAATTCTTTAGAAAGTTACCGTGCTGTGTTATTGAAAATCGTAAGACTTCATCCGAAAATATGGGTGTTTTCTTGAACTAGTCAATATCAATTATTAATCACAAGTCAATCATATTTTTTTTTATTTATAGACCAGTTGAGATGTTTGAAAAATACAAGAGAAGTGGAATACCTACAAACAGGCATTGAGGATTCTGATAATCTAAAGCTATGTCTTAATATACAATTGGACGGCGCAATAGATAGGCAATTTAGGGACATACTAAAATGTTTTTAAAATGTACGATAGGTCGTCACGTATTTTATTGACATTAACGTTCATTAAATCAAGATTTTTTCATCATTATTTATCGACATTATTTTTAATACTATAGTAAATTAAGCTATAATCCAACTTAAGTACGTTAGGGATGACACTTGAATTGTTTTGCTAATTATGTTTTTTCGATAAAAAAAATATTGAATAATATGTGTCCAATGTCCATTTTAATGCTTACCAAATTGTTTAAGCTGTTTAGGTGCAATATAAATATGTACCGTTTATGTCATATATTCTATACTATATAGTATTTAATACATAAAATGATATGTCATATGTATAGTTGAATATCAATATCACAATTTTTTACATACTTTTTGAAATGTTTTTAGTTGTACGTATGTGAGGTACACAAATCGACAAATCGAAAACTAAGAAAGTTAAATTTATTTCTATTCTCCTTGAATTATCGATGAGACTCGACTGTATTTATAGTTTAACAGATATAATTAGATATTAGATAAACTTAATATATATTTGTAATTTATATCTGAGTCAACCCAACATATGTTTGATTATACACATTTCTATTGTTTTTTTTTTTGTGCCCTATAAATGTAAATAATAAATGTATTATATTATAATACCTACCTATTTATGTAACTTTTATAAAAAGAAAAACGTTGAGATTTCGTGCATTAATATTTACGTGGAGTGTTTTTGCACTAATATTTTTTCGGAAATATTTTGACGTGTCAAATATTTATATAGATTTTAATGCTGAACAATATTGATCAAACCGTTATTCGGATTAAAATTAAGTAGGTACGTAATATGTATCTAAATTTTGGATTGAATCCGTTAATTCACATAAATTCGATTAGAGAAAAAAACTAAAAACTAGAGTGTCTACACATAGAAAACTAGAAACTACATACAGTACATGTAAAGTAAAGAACTATAGCATATGATAGTCGTGCTAGAGTGCCAGCTAGTCGCTATATAGTAGTGCGTAGTATACATTATACATTTAACATTTATAAATTTATAAATTTATAATATTTATATTATTACTGTGTAAGTGTAATGAACTCATGAATGCATGTATTTCAAAACTTTGATATCAATAAATAACAGGGAAATACTTTTAATTAGTATTTAGTACCTACCTACCTATATCATTAAAAACGAAAACAAATTGTTAAATAATAACCATTCAAATTTTATCATTCGAATAGAGAATCATAATCCTGATCGATAATTTAAAACCGGATTAAACATATTATTATACTTTTTCCAACCCCAATAGACTGATAAAGATAAATCAGACTGCAATTATGGTTTGATGATTGTTCTGGATTTGGGGCAGTTCAGCACTAACGTGGTTTACGTTCACTAATCACCTCTGTGTGTATGTAGTTGCATAATAGCAGATTATTATTGCATGGCAACTCAATCACAGTACTGCACTGCAGCGTTAAAAAAAATTCATAGCAATTTTTTTCCTACACAGTCAATTGTCACAAATCATAATATTTTAATAACATAATAAAATAATTGTTATCCATAGACCATTTTTAATATTGGTCGTGCGATTAAACTGTTAATATTGCGGTTATTACTTATTATTATTTCATTTCATTATTATCTATTTTTTTGACACGTATTGTGTGCATGCCCATAATATTATGTAATATGTATTTATGTTTGATAGTCTGTACTCGTCGTAACTGTATACAAATATAATATCTATACTGTTATACCATTTACCTTAGACATTTCGAATCATTAATATTATTTATTGTTCAATGCAGGGCAATTCACCTGTGGACGTGCACACCGCCGTGTTTTAGATTAATAATGAACTTCATCAAATTCTGATTTTTGGAATTTTAATCTAAATACCCTGTATACTTATTTATACTTATATATATCACATATTTTCAAATTTCGGCATTTTTTGCACTACTTATTAACAGATACAAAGTAAATTATAACTATTGTTGTTGTATTTAGTTAGCTACCGACTTAAAATGTCTTTAATTTTCCAACATATATCTATATCTATAGTTTATTAAATTAGGTAATTTAGTTTGTCCTCTTAATATTGATTTTAAGATTATCAACACTATTATAGGTACCCAAGTGCGTATTAATTTGATAAAAATTGAGTAAGTACATTAAATAGATACCTTAACATATTATGGTGGTTTGTGAAGTATTTTATTGGTGTGCGTAAAGTTATGTTTAATCTGCTATAGGTCTATAGCACTAATTATTACTTGTCTAAACATAATTCATTTAAAAGAACGTGAATTTTATGTGCAAAATAAAAATATAATAGTGATCGTCATAATATAATTAATATTTAACTTACCTACTGAAATACATGTGCTTACGATGAAATTTCAATAATAGTCAAAAATAAAAATTAATGTTTTAATATTTTAAATATAGGTATTAAATAAGTACCTATTATAAAAAAAAAACTTGTAGTTTGTTGTGGCGTGGTGTTTGGTCTCAGTCACAAACATGTTCTGAGGTCAAACATCAGTTGACGTCACTAGTTCTCTGATTGTTGACCACTCGAGTTTTAAAGACAAATCCTCTCAACATATATACGAGTTCTGAGTGTTCTGATTGACTATATCGTCTATATCCTCCTCTAATGACCATAGACGTATAAGTTATAACTCAATAAAAAAAAACTTATAACATTGTTTATTCATTTATTTGTACAGAAAAACTTTATTATGAATAAATAACACAAATGGCAAACAATAATACACATCTGACGACTGACTTTAAATTTGTTATGGAAAACTTGAAACAAGTCTTGTTATTTTGAACACTTTATAAGATCTTATAAGTTATATGCTTATACCTTATAGTACCTGAATACTTAATTAAAAAATTTCAATTCGTAATGTTATACTACTCGTTAGTCATTTTAAATATTTAGTGATTTTCCTCTAACTAAATATGATAATCAATAAAAAAATGTCTGATAGGTATGGTGTGTTACTATAGACAGATAAAAGTGGCTCTCTTTACTAATGAAAAAAAATCTAACTAGCCTGCTAGAACAAAGTTCCATTGGGGTTTTTAGGAAAATGTATGGAGTTGCTTCAGCCTCTCGGGTGGTTTGGTTATACATGGAGTATAACATAGATATAATATTTAGTATGGTACCAACTTATTAATTACTAGGTATTTGAAAAACGTTTCAATTCATTAATCATTATTGATGTAAATGCAACTACATGAATAGGTTATATATAGGTACTGTTTAATGGTTTCGCTATTTTTATAGGTTTATAATATAATAGTGATTACTAATTAGTAATTAGTGAAACAAATAAATCAAGTCATAGTTATATTGTTTAAACATTTCATAATATTTTAAATTAACAAAAATACAATTTTTAACAAATGCTTTCCCCAAAATAAATTAAATTTGTAAAATTAATATGCACAAAAATAACGGTGGGTATACATGATAATAAAACCATATAATACACTGGTTGTTAGTATAAATGTATAAATAATAAAATATGTAAAATCAACATGTCTTTTTTGGTGACATTCATTAAAATGCAATATTGTTTTTGGTCTTGAATTTAAAATTAAAAACGGTAACATAATATTATGCAGTACCTAACAATAGTTATATATTATTATAAATAGGAGAAAATGTTTTTTTCCAAGGTGGGGCGATATTTAAATTTATCATG